AAATAGACAATCAAACAGACATGACAGTTCAGCACAGTGACTGCAACGATAGCGGTGGGCCCGGGGACCTCTGGGACCTTTGGAAGGTGGGGGGAGGAGGCAGCCAAGGGATGCTTCCTGGAGAAGAGGTGATATTTGCTTGGTGTTTATTTAGTACTTACCATGTGCAGGAGGAAAAGACCTGATCTCTGCCTTGCAGGAACCTGTTATCTAGCTGGGAGACAAGATGTGGACACATTACAAGGCGATGTGTATTGAAGGTGCTATTCGTCTGCTTGAGATGGGGCAGCTTCTGGAAGTTTAGCCGACAAGAGACAACACACAGATTGTTGGGCTGAGGTTCAACACGGCATCCCCAGCACCTGCCACGCCCTGGGGGCTTGATAAGTAATTGTGGAAGGGGAGGCAGCCTTTAGAAGGTAGCAGTGGTGTCATTATTTTTCTTAAAAGCCTTGCCTTAGGATCCAGAGGACTACTGGTCTGGCCCTGCCACTCCTTAGTTATGGGAAAGTCACTTCCTATCTCGATTCCCAGTTGCCTTAGCTGTACCAATCTACCCCCTAGAATCACTACCAAGTACAAGTGAAAGAATATGCATACGAAGGCTACTTTGTATGCACAGTACAAAGGCTACGGTAGACACTACAGAAAAGGCTGATTCTCACTGATGACACACGTAATGTCACTTGATTTGACTCCCAGAACTAGCCTATGGAGTTGGTGAACTACTGTCACCAATTTACAGCAAAGGGAGGTATAGCTCTTCTCCAAAGGGGTCCATGGATTGCTCGAAGTTGACGGACAAGTCACAGAACGGATAAGCTCAGAAGTCAGGCCGTGAACCTCAATCAGATGATGACAAAGCCCGAGCTTTTTCTCTAGTTAGGAATATCATGACAGAGGTCAAAATCAATGGGATCTGAGGAACAGTAGTGTTTTTACGGCCAGAGGGAGAAGGGGATTCACTTGTGATCCATCATGCTTCAACTCCTAGATATTAAGAATCTTTATTAAACCCCTTTCAGGATCTGCCCAAGGCAAGCACTGAGCTCATGTTTATTTAAAAAGAATACTAAGCATTTCTCCATATTAAGATCTTTGCCCATAATTCTCTTCACAGCGCGGTACAAGGCAAATCGAGAGAAGGCTAGATAGGAAATGATATGTACTGCTTTCGCTCCTGATCTCACTGCTGTAGAGTCATTAAACCCTTACAAGGCAGGGATAGGAACCACTGCCTTGTGGATTTAGAAGGAATTCCTATTATGCTATAATTCCAGAATCTGCGATACATCTGAAAAAGAGCGCAAAATGACTAGATTTTTCCACATCTCCTGCCATAGAAAGGTGTCTGCTTTCTCTATAACTTCTGATTCGTGCATCTCTAAACCACACTCTAAACCCCGCTGGCATGCGATTCCTTTGTTGTGGGGACTCCTCAGACTGGAACAAGGGCATCCTAATCAGTAAAGGCTTCTCGTGTTGTTTTAAACAAATCTGACACTCGGTGGGAGGAGACCGGGGCAGCAAGTAGCAGGATGATTAGATTTCCAGCTCTGGGTACCCCCTCCACCCTCCCTGACTGTCATTCACGCCCTCTGATCAGAAGCAGATTCTGGCCGGGGCCAGCCAGGCTCTCTGGCCGGTCACAGTGGGAGAGAGGGGTTGCTATCGTTGTTGAATTCAAGTCGTATAGCTTTTCCAGAATTGAGAATATATATGAATGGGAATTAGTCACTTTTCCTCTGAGGTCTTTGCTTTTCCTTTTTCCCCTGAGTGCTCCGGTCCTTAATGGCAGGCGAGCAGGCAAGCAGACCTCATGAGGAGCCCACCTCTCACACATGCCTCCAGCTGAAATGCAGGGGCAGCTGGATCAGGAGGTAAAAGTTTTCTTGCAAAGAGCACTGGAACGAGAGTCAAGAGACCCGGTTTCTGACGAATAAACTACAAGGAAAGAGCGGGAGATGTGACGAGTGCAAAGGCTGGAAGTCATTTCCTGATTCTACTTATACCGGGTATGAGGTCTTGGCTAAGTCACTTCACAACTTTTTGACTGTTTACTCATTTACAATAAAAATAGTGAACATTTACCTACTATACTGCTTGTGTCGGGCCCTAAGTTACTTTCCATACTTTAGCTCATTTATTTCTGAAAACCTTCATAAGTAGACATATAATGTCCATTTCACAGATGAGCCCACTGAAGCGCAGTGAGGTTCGTTAATTTGCTACACGTTCCATAGCAGAGGAGCTCAGGGATGAACCAGCGCTTATGACTTTAACCCCATGAGAAACTGAGACACCAGAAAACCTCGTGTCAGGGTGGCGGGGTTTCTACGAGGGCAAAAGGCTTGAACACGGTCTCAGGTTTCCATGGCACAACAGTAGCCCCTGACAAAGGACACCAATTATTACCGCATTTGCTTGGCTGGCCTTTTTCAGAACCAGACGGAAGCCCCACCAAACCTATTTTGCTAACCCTGTGTGGGAGAAGGAAACATCGCTGCCGCCCGTCCTATATAACAAAGGCCACAGCACATGACCATTTCCAGGAAACCTGGGAGGTCAGGGAGCATTTTAATTAAAACATCCACGTGACATGAGGAGAGAGGCCAGCCACAACCAAGCTCTTCAAAGCAGATTTTTCTTAGAAACACTAGCATCTCGTGAGGAAGAAGGGGCTGTTGGCAAACAGCAGGGAAAGAGCTGCTGACCAGGAATTTTGCTTGAGGAAGGAAGGATGGAAGAGACATGTGGACCTCAAAGAAGCCACTTGAGCACGCTGGGTCCACCCAGCCCACTGCAGCCGAGCATGTGCCCACGGAAGGGACGGCATTTGATTCCCACAGCAATCCCCAGGAGTGAAGTCAAAGAACGCTCTCATTTCACAGACGAGGAAAACGAGGCCTAGAAGAACCAGGGATTCACCTAATTCACGTAGCCAGAGGGGCCCAAGGCCTCTGAGGAGTGTCTCTCTCCAGGGCTCCACGTCTAGGAGCAGCCCACGAGGCAAGCCACTGATAATCGCACGTAAAGAGTACGAAGATCACAGAACATCCCTGTCACTGTGCTATTCTTATCTCAAGCCCTCCCGGGTTAGAGTCGGCTTCTAAAAGCATTCAATTAACTGAGCCTCCGAGTGTCAAAAAACACCTGTTCAAACCTTAGCACAAGATACTGTGTTAAGTATTCAAACGCTTTTTCCAGGCAAAGCCATGCTTCCTAGAGAACTCAACCCCACACTGTTAATTTGGAGCAAAGAGTAAAATTAGATTTCATATTTCTCAGCTTTTGAACACAAAGATCCTTAGTCCACCTTTAAGAAACTACCGCAGTTGCCAAATGGACGGTTTTTCTTTTAAAGGCTGGAAAGAATTCTACTAGCCTCCCTGCCCCCTCCCCCAACGTCAAACTGTTGATTGCACGCCTCGTTTACGATGTTATTAGAAAACAAACAGGGGTCTCAAAGTTATCACAAACCCCCAGAGTGGGGAAGTCAAAAGAAAAACTTCACGCACTGTGCTCCGTGGCCATCAGCAGCTTGCCTTTGATGCAGAGAAGGCAACAGTCGCTAACTGCCCATCCCACTGAGCACTTGGATAGGATAGCCTACCTCCAAGCCTAAATCAAGCCTGCAAGACGGACAGAGGTTTGGGAATAGCCAGGTTTAGGCTTGAATTTTTACTTGCTTTACACTTTGAGCATGTCACTGAATCCCTCCAAGCTTCTGATCTTCCATTTGAATGCGGGGGATACTAAGCCCTTATTTCACATGCAGTGTTCTTAATATTAACTCCTTCCTTCTTGGCTTGCTGTTACAGGCCAAAGCTAAGTTTCCAGGCTAGGATGAATACAAAGATGACTCAAGGATTTGAAACAAAGATTTTCGATCTTGGTGGATGTGATGCCTAGCCCTTTGCCCATTTGGCTCAAGTTCAAGGACAAAGAAAAAATTTAGAAAATATTGGAGGTGTGGAATGGATGGCTGTGAAAATGTATGAACTACAGATTATAAGACTGGAACACCCTCAGTTACTCTCCCCCTCCCCTGCCCTAAATGGACACGTCTGAAACAGGGCAGTGACCAAGTAAAGCCCAGATAGACCATACCCTGATTCCCATGAGGCTACCATTGCTCAAAGTAATCCTGGACCTTGTCAAGTCGGCGGCACATTCTGGCATCTTCAATGAAGGCTTCCTCCTCTAAGGGAAGATCTGGATGTAAGTCTAGATTTTACACTGGCGTATGAGCAGCCTGGCCGGCAATTAAGAGTTTGCCAATTACTTCAATATTCATGATCTCTTTTACTTCTGACTGCAAAGTTTTGAAGGAAGATGGTCACCCCTGATTTTAAAGACGTACAGCACTGGAACGAGATTTTAAAGACGTACAGCTTGGCAGTGGAGGGCCAGGTCTAGAACCTAGGTCCCTGGATTGCAAGTCTCATTCTATTTTCACTTTGACACTACAGTCCCTGGATGAGAGAATTAAACAATATGGCAGAGAATGTCAGTGGCATTACCACTGTCAGAGCAGCACCACGAGAGTGTGGAAAGAACACAGAAAAGGCCTGAGATGTTTGGTAAGGTATTACCCCCATCATCTGGGGCTGATTTATAGCACAGTGGCTAAGAGCTCAGACTCTGGGGTAAGGGACAATAGGTTGAAATCCCAACTCCACCACTCATTAACTAAGTGACCTTGGGCAAATTATTTTTACTCTGCGGACCTCAGCTTCTTAATTTGTAGAAGAAAGATAAGAACAATATCTAGACTTTGTTAGATTGTTGTAAGGATAAGGTATGCAAAGCATTGTAGAAGGTTGCTTAGCATACTTTTATAATACTTATATATATATTTAGTATTTTAAAATACTTTTAGTAATCGTATTAACTGCATGAAACAATGTTAATCAAATGAAATTCTACTTGATCTTCCAAACCTCTACTAGCTCGGATAGTCCACGACGTGCTTTGCGCACGGCGGTCTGGGCGCTTACCGCGAGGATGGCGATGACAATCCCCACGGCGCAGAGCACAGCATCATTGATTGTCTCACCGGTTTTCAGCGGGTACTTGATGCTCTCGTCATTGCAGTAAAACCCCCGGTGGTAAGGCTTGATGGTGCTTGTCTCAATGATGATGAAGGGCAGGCCCGCTGGACCAGACGGAACCATCATCGCATATACCAGAAAAAAACAGGAGAGAGGGAAAAACATCAGTGAGAGGAGGCCAAAGAAGAATGACCTACAGCAAAGACCACCCCAGATAACAACATAGATGGCAAAGTTAATTCCTTGCATTTGATCTACAGCCTACAGAGAGGCTTCTCTACGTGCACCCCCTTCCCTCCTTTAGTGGCCACTAAGAAGGGTGTGGTGTGATCCTCTTGCCTTGTCCAAGAGCACAGAGGGAGGCGGTGGAAGTGGCAGGGCAGGAGCTTTTCCACTGCTCTACAACATCCTGCTAAAAATCAAAGCCCGATTTGTAATTATTACTAACAAAGCCCCAAATCTAATGATGTCTCATGATGCCTCCAAGTGCCTTCCTCTCTTAAGTCAATCATTTCCCCCTTGAGAAGCTCATGCCAAGACTTTGTGGCTTGGAATTCTGAAGACTCTGGAATCAGAGAGACAACCTGAATTTGCACCCCAGATCCACCACTTCCTAGCAATGTGACATCTGGTTCTCTCTCCATCTTCCTGAGCCTCAGTTTCCCCACAAATGAATTGTGGTGATGACTAAAGGGGAATAGGAAACAAAGCACATAAAACTCCTAGTACAGTGTTCGCGCATAGTAGCTGCTTAGCGAATGCCATTTCCAGTGCTTTTCTTTCACTGTTCAAAGAGTCTTTGACAAGACTGAGCAGAGCTGAGCTGGGCCCTCCTGCCTACAGACCTGGAGCAGAGCCCAAGGGCATCAGGGGTACCGAGGCACTCTTGCAGCTGCTGCTAGTTTATCAATGTCCAGCTCAGTTGCCATTCTCTTAAAGGTCATGGAAAATGGATTCCATCACCTGCCAGGAAAGGCCCTCATAAGCCTGAAGCAAAAAGTGAAGGCCCACAATATCTCTTTCTTGGACACGGCGGCAGCTTCCAAATTGGTCTCCTGGCCTTCTGTGCCTCTTACCCACATCCACCAGTTTGCTTCCTGACCGTAAGTATGTCGTGGCCACGCTCAAGCTTCTTCAATGTTTCCCCATTGCACAGGACAAGATGACATCCGTAAGTATGACCTCCAGAGTTCCCCACGACCTGAACCTCCTTGACACACCCTCCAACAAAACAGGACACAGAGCCTCTGTCTCGGTTCATGCTCTTCTTTAGGCTGGAAAGACACTTCCTCCCCTATATCCAAATTCAATACCTAGCCCCAAGGCCACCTCACAATGGTGAGTAAAAGGTAAAGTAAAAGTGCAAGGTGAGCCACTGAATGTCAGGCTAAGGAAGACCACGAAAACCACCTTGTCGATGATAGCAGCCCACCACTGCTGTGCACTAACAACAGGTGACGTATTTTGCAACCATTTTTGCATTGACTCTTCCAACAACCCTGAGCAGTCATTTTAAAATCACTTAAGCACTACTATCACTCATCTGCCAGTGGAGAGGATAGAGGTTCAGAACGAATGCTTAGCTCACTCAGGGTCTCTCAATCCACCCCAAAGTGCCTAAATCCCTAATTTAACTTTGCAAATTGGTTTCATCCATATATGAATTTCATTAGTGGAAAAAAAAAAAAACCCACGATAAGCAGCCGTTTAAAAGATAAGATTCCATTTTCATGTTTTTCAAAAAGAATTAAGCTCATGTCATGTGGCTCAAAGGCCCGGACGGCCTCTTAAAGAAAAATATATATATATACCATGAACTCTGCAGTTTTTCAATGACTTTGGTCCAGACTGGCAGCGATAAAAACGCTCACTTTCTAAAAAGTGTATTTATGTATCACTGTGCATACACACATGGATTTATTTGGTTTTATTCTTTGGATTTATTTGAATTCTACGGCTATTTATTTTGTGACCCCCCCCCCCCCAACTGCTTCCTGCTAGAACAACAATTTACTTTATCAAATTCATACTGGTGCTTTGAAAAGAAAGCCCAGCCGCACACCGCAGCGCTGTGCCTGACCTTCGGAGAGTAAACACAGAGGGGCCCTGGAAGGCAACAACTATTAGCTCTGCGATGCAGAAAAGGAAGAAAGGGAAACAGGGAATCCATGTTCTGGCTTCGAGATGGCAAGTGCGGTTAGCTGATCTTCTTGGGTTGGGGGCTGGGAGAGAAAAGATATCACGTGGGCCTGAGCCGTCTTCATTCCACTGCCTAAACATTTTGAAATGTGGCCAAGTTGGCTATGAAAAGGAGCTGTGAAGCCAGCAGCATGATATTAATAGTCCACTTTTAAAGTTCCACACATCGTGATAAACACCGTTAGCTTCACATCTGAGCCCGGTCACAGTCTCTGTGGTGCCAAGGAGCCAGAGCGTTGCTAATAAAAGGAAGGGAACAGACCCCAAGTTCCTTACATTTGTGCTCCACTCCTAAGGCCCCCAGCTTCTATTTTTACTAGTGTTCACATGATAGGCCTGTAAAACATATGTTCCTAAGGACAATAAAACACATATAGAAGAGCTGTGGAGTCAGACTGAACTCGGTTAATGATCTTAACTCTGCTCCCTACTACTCGAGCAAGTTACTTTTCATCTCCAAAACCCCCCTCTCATCTGCTCAACGGGAAAAACAAAATCTTGCTTTGGGATTGCTGGGAGGATATAATAATGTATTCATTCGTTCAACAGATATTTATTGAGTCTTAAATATGCCTACTAAGTACGAGGACTACAAAGATGACACAAGCCCTGCCCTCAGGAAGTTTACAATCTAGTAGGGGAAGACACATATCATGGAATAAAACCAGTACAGGAAGTTGCTTTCGTTGGAAGAAACCAGGCAGCAGCACGGGGTAGTGTCAGCACCGAGTCTGGCACACACTGTGGACACTCAGAAACGCTAAAAGGAAGAAGGAGGGGAAAGTCCCACAGAGAAGGTTAGGAAAGAAAATCTGTCTGGTCAGTTCCTCTGTACTCTTAACCTGGGAACAGTCCAAATCCTTTTCCTTCCTTCCTTGTCCAAGGCTTGGGGAGGGTTTCCGGTTCCAATTATGTGGATGATGGCCACAAACAGACAAGAAGTTGGATCGGAATATGGTCCATTTTATTTTCTTGAAAGGCGTGGAGACGGCATTTAGAAAACCCGGTGGCCTTTTCTGTCTCCCCTACAAACTTGTGGTATGATTGGGGGTGATGCCAGTCAAATCCTGACTTGGCTCCGGGAAAAGAATAACCTCAGATCCCCTTCAGTTGATGGGAAAAGCATGAACATGTCCCCCCAGTGGGACAGCCAGTCCTCAAGAGACATAACACCATGCCTTGCCTCTCCACGACAGAGACGAGGCGTTCTTTTCCAAAACGGGATTTCCATTTCCAGCGTTGCCACCATCTTTATCACCAATCACTGCAGTCCCTGATCATTTCATTATAAGACCATTCCCAGGGCTAGCCACTGGGAATCAAGGGTTAAGTACATCAAAGTACAGTGCCTGCCCTCAAGAGGTGCATCGTGTTGTAAGATCATGAAAACAAGTGCACTAAAACATTTTTAGTGAGAGGACTGATGGATGTAGAGAGTACAGCGTGGGCACAGAAGAACACTTGACTACAGACACTAAAGATGGCCCGGATGGGAGGCTTAATTTGACCCTCATGTGAGTCGGAGGTTTTTCTGGGGTCCAGGGGTTAAATACACTCATAAAAACAGTGTCGTTTAGGGATCGCAATAGGCCATCCACAAAACTGATGGCCATTGCCATCACGAGAATACAGTTTTAAGTTTGGCTACAGAGCTGGGAGAGATACACAAGGTACCGAGGATCTCCACATAAACTGTGGCAGATCTGACAAACCTGCTGCCTGTTCTGTTCTCAGCACTGATGGGGCTACTGAGCTGGAGTCCCAACCTTCCAGTGGCCCAAAGGCCAACAGGAGGAGCAGTCATAACAGCTGACACGTTCAGTCACCCTAAGGTTCAAAGGGATTAAAGTGACTTACCAGCATCCCTCTGTCCGCGGTAGTGGTGGACAGGGCTCAAATGCTCTGACGCCTGGGTGCTTTCTACAGTAAATGAGTCACTTAAAAGAGAGGGAAGGAAGCACCTAAGTTTAATACATTAATTGAAGCCCAGCAAATCTCATGGGCTTTGAAGAAGAAAATGCTTTGTTTGGAACAGTCAAGGCAGCAGCACTGGCTTCTGCTCTCTGAACATTCACTGTGCACCACACACGACAGTACTGAATATAATGAAGACTCCGAAGCCAGTATCCCGGAATTTAGATTTATCTAAAATGAAAGGTACATTACAAGCTTTCTGCAAAGCAGAACCAAAATGTATGTAAATACACACACACACACACACACACACACACACGCCCCATCTGGTGATGCTAGACCTCAACTCAAGCATTTCTCCTTCTTTTAATCAAGGATCAATTAACTTCCTAAACCTCCAGGGACCTCTTGGGATGTGTAGGCTGCAGAGGAGGCGAAATACGAACTCACTGACAAACACTTAATGGGCAGAAAATCAAAGCATGAAGAAAAGCCCCTGTGTTGGGTTCAGGCCTTTGAAAGTTCTTGGGCTTCGAAAAACGAACACTTGGGCAGGTTGGGCGGTTTGGGGGTGGGGTGTAAGAAAACATGGGATAAGTTTCCGTGGCCCACCCATTGATAAAGTCATGTGGGAAGTGTTACCAAAGTGACCCAGCCCCAGAGCCCTGCTCCCTCCAGCCACAGCTTCAAGTTTGTGTAAAATTAAACACAGCCTCCTGCTCTCAAAGTGCTTTTTAGAAAGCTCTTGTGAGGGTAGGAAAAGAGTGGGGGTGGGAGACTGAATGAGAAAATTTTGCACTTTTGCATGACCGAAATCGGAGCATCGGGGAGAGATTTTCCCATCGCTCCTATGGACCATGTCCTTCAAGTACCTTTTCCAGAGTTGTCCAACTTTCTACTTCACCCGAGCTGTAGTTACCTTAAAATAAGCCAAGTTCAGCATCTGTGTGAGTGATAATTAAACTAATATCTGCAGAAAGCCTACATATCT